ATTCCGGCTAGGTGCCTGCTAAAAGGTCAGCGAAATCAACACCCTTCGTTCTGGAAATCTAAGCAGCCAATGCCAGCTTTTTAAGACATCACACCAATCACCTAGAGCATTTGTTAAGCATGGTTGTCATCTCATGTGTTGGTGACCAGACCTTTGAAAAGACTTCTCTTTCAAATCGGAATCCATGAATGAATGAAGTGAGATCAGCAGATAAAACCCTGGCACAATAAAAACGAAATACGGGTTCACAGGTATTGGATTTGAAACCAGTCGGTAATTTACCATGGTCTTCGCGTGGCCCGCACCGGATAGCGCTCGTCGCAGTGACCGAGCCGCCGTACGCAGCTCGTGATGACTGTTGCAACACTTGTCTTGCGGTGTCCACCGATCCGCTCAGAGAAAAACGCAGTTGGGCCGCGCGGTCACCGCCTTCCGGCGCAGCCAGGACCGACGCTTGACGCGGCAGGTGCCGACGCCTGGCGTGGCAGGGACCACTGCTTAGCGTGGCAGGGACCGACGCCTGATGCAGTTCTTACGGGGGGAGGGGGGGGGGGGGGGCGGGAGTCGGAGATCCGAAACGGGTAAAATACGAACAGCAATTTTAAAAGGCTACGCGCTTATCGTACAAAAAAACGCAATGTTCATGTATGGCGCATCTTGGCACTTAAGACAGCGAACAAGTGGTAAAACCGACATCTTCACATGGTCGGCTTTCATAACGCGTAATGTACGGACCCCATGAACGTAAGCCACAGCCAAAGTTGTAAATTTCTCCTATCGTTGAAGGTCTTTATCTCTTCCATTACCTATTGGACACAAAACCCGCAAGATCTCGAACAATTATTTTGAAACATTTCATGGCTAGGAAATATTAAAAGTAAAAATGAAAGTGAGACAGTATCAATAGTCTTATTCCTTGTAGACTAAACAGGAGCACGGAGAGATGCAGGTAATATTTTTGTTGCATGCCCTTATGGAGAATAATATCAGTAGTAACTTCAAAATTGCCTGCCGATCCTACTCAATTTTGCAGTTTTTCGTATTTAAACATTGTTCAATGCGGCATGCTGTTTAAAAAGGAAAACCTGAAAAATCGAGTAGGATCAGCGGCCAATTTTGAATTTATTGCTGATATTTGTTTTAATAAAGGTATGTAGCCAGAATACCTCATCTATCTCTCCATTCTCCTTTTTATTCTACGAGGAGCAAGGCTATCGATGTTTTATATCCATATGTGTCGTGTTAATCGTAAATGTACTAGAAAAAACTTCCGTAAAACTAAAGGTCTCTCATTCTTTTGCATTCAATTGCAAGTTAATGGCTAATGCCCAGAAACAAACAACTGGACAAAAGCCTCCAAAAACAAAATTCCGCATCTGCATTTTTCCGTTAATTAGCATTGCATGAGCACCACTTTGCTAAGCATTTCAGTCTTGACTAATTCTTGATCTAAGTTCTTAATCTTGACCGCCTTCATCTCCTCCGTGTTCACGTGCTACGTGCGCCTGCTCCCGGCAGCGCGGGGATCAAATAGGGCGCTGCGAGCAACCAAGGCTCTTTAATAAGGTGTTTGACCCTCGGATTTATACCAAACCATGCTAGGTTTGAATACTAAATAAATAAACTTCGAGTAAATTTGTTTTTGATCAATCGTCGCATTAATAAAGTTACACGCAAAACTTACTTCCATCTTCTAAACACATTATGACTGATCATCACCGTCGTCATTGGGGCTTTACGATACACTCAGCTGATGAGGCTATATAGCATCGTCTGCCCCTCACCCTGGTAGGAGGAGCGAGCACTGCGGGGAATCGAACCCCGTGCCTCTGGTTTCTCGACGCGCAGTGTAACATTTGTTGCTGTGGTATCGTCATCTTGTGGGCGGCATTATTTCAACTGTGAAACGTGTGCACTTTTGAAAATATTGTTAGATCTACAAGAAATGTGTGAATTGCTGCTTTCCAAATGACACTGTAGCTATAATGATTGTTTGAGGTAGCTTAATGTGCAGCGTACAATAACAAAGGAGTCAATACTAAAACAGAGGATGTAGTTTTACAAAATGAGTTAGGGAAGGGGGGGAGGTGTTAAGCGACAGGAAATGACCAAAACCTACACCAAAAATACGTCAACAAGCAGGTTTTTCCACAGATTTAGTCCACTTTCCTCTCAAAGTTGGGGGGACCGAAACCAAACTTGGGGGAGGCTAGAGCTCCCCTCCCTAGCAACATAGGAAACTACATCCCTGACCACCACATCGCACCAGACTTCGCAATGTACGAAAATTGATGTGCTGCGTTTAGATCCATGAAAACTCATCCAAATATGCATATCAGAATTCAGGGGATTCAAGGAATGTGCTTTTTGTGTTCGCAGCTCATCACTTCATTGCGGGCAGTGTGCTTATTAATCCGAGTTATCACGCTGAGCACAGGCTTACACTGCAGAGAATGGATTCCCAGGTGGACTCCCTGGGGCATCCTGGTCCTTAGAAACAGGCCAGATGTTGCCATTCAGCGTTCCTCAAGCGTCTTTATTTAGATGATGGCTATGTGCGCTCAACATGCTGAGGTAGCACGGAGGTTTTACCCCCTCTCCACAAAAGCCTTGTACACTTCAGTCAGATCCGGAACATCTCCGGAGCGTAGTGGCTAAAGGCAAGGTACGGCCAAAAATGAGTTTTTTATTCCTTGCGCAGAATTCCTTAAATGCATCCGCCCTTTGTGAATACATTTCCTCCAGTACGTTTAGCCATCAAGCACAGCTTTGGTTACTATTTATATGACAGCTATTTATTAGGCTTGTGACACGATAGATGACCACGTACGATTAGTGCTTGGTATATTATATTATGTTTGAAAGTGGTTAGCGTATGCTGTTTTCTTAAAGAGAATGCTCCACATTTGAAGATATAAAGCAAACATCAGATATTATGAAATAAGCTCATCCACTTTCATTTCATTGCTTTTACATGGAGATGACTGCTCTAGACAACACGATTTCTTTATTTAGATTATATGCTCCACATTATGTCATTGTTTCATTGCGTCAACCTGCCTTGCAAAAAATAAATTGTGAACCAATTGACGGCAGTTAGATATGACAATCAGGCTCACGAACGTCAGTTATAAACGATTCGACAGCCGGATTTTTTTTGGCCGTGATCGCCGCATGGTCAATGGAATAGTGGACTTTTAATGGTATTATGGTGTCATAGATGGGGGACCCAGAAATAGATCACAAGAAAAAGACTACGCACCTTCGCGGGCGTGTAGCTCAGAAATCTGGGGGGCTTAGGTCTTGCCAAGGGCAGGGATGTGAAATGCACGAATAATCATCAGTATGGCAGTTTCAGTTCAAAACTCTTACAAATGTGGAACACTCTTTAAAGGAAACATTCCACATTTAAAGATGGCGGAGACAGCATGAGCTATGATGAAATAAGCTCGCTTAACACCTGGTATTCTTTGAAGTGGAAAAGGCTGTTCTAGACACAGCAATTTCTATGTCTAGTAGATCTGCTCCTCATTACCTCATTGTAATGTTACGTCATCTTACCTTGCATCACATTGACTGATAGCGAATTAACGACCGTCATATCCGGAAACCGTGCCCATGAACGCCAGATATAAACGACTCGATAATGGCATTTGTCTTGGCTTTGATCGTCGCATGGTCATTGGTATGGTAGGATTTGTTATCTAACAATATTTTTGGCGTCGTGGATACCTGGGTGATCTTAAAAAAGTCTACCCGAAATAGCCTGTACGTCTTCGCGGGTGTGTAACTCAGAAACTAGAAAAGTGTGGGTCTGACGAGGGGCAGGCCTGTGAAGTGCACCGAATGATCCTCAAGATGGCTATTCAGTTCAAAACTCCTTACACATGTGGAACAGTCTCTTTAAGACCTAGATAGAAATAATGGCCCTTGGGCGTCGCTCCGAGTTTTGTGATAGGTGAACGGTGTTATAACTGACGCATGGTGACAGTTATTCAGGTCCAGTTCCTGTGTTCGTATGCACTACGTACAAAAAAGGACCAGCACGCTTCTTCCGGGGATGACAGCTCGGTTCGCGGGCCTATTCAAAATTGGCGCACATTGCGCAAATCAATATACAAAACAGGTCACTTATAATTTACTACGCATGAGCGCTTCGCACGTTATTCATTTGACCATCAAAATTAATGCAAGGCTGGATGCTCGCACTCATTTATCCAGTGCAAACATACGGGCCCTACACTTCGCACTTTGCCTACATGCCATGCCTTGTTTCCAAAGCAACGACTTCCGCGACAGGTAAGCGTCTTGACGGCCCGCGTGGTCATCCGACATCCGTTTGGAAGCCTGTACGCCCATTTAACAATAATACCAATACACGGTAAGTTCGGTGCCGCCGGCTAATACGCCGATTCACAGAGGCCAGCGGCAGACCTGCACCCGGGCTCTACCGGTCGGGCCCGGGACATCGCCGCGGCCCGGCCGTCCTTCCGTGCCGCCGCTCTGACGTCACGGTCGCCCAGACCGGGCGCCGTCTGCTGTGTCCAGTAACAAGTGTGTAAGTGGCGTCGGCCGGTATCGACTGTGGGTGCGGCGCGCGCGCGCGCCCTGCGCCCGGCGTGGGCGTGGGTGGCGGCCGCTCTCGGCTGGCGGCGCGGCCCGGCCGGCGCCAGTCGGCGCCGCTCCGCTCCTGCCATGCAGCCGCGCCCGGGCCGCAGTGGTCGCCAGTGAGCGCGCACGCCCGCTCCGTCCGCTCTGGGCCATGTCTGCTCGCAGGGCGCTGGGCGCGACTGGCCTCTGCCTGCTGGCGCTGTGCTGGCTGGCGGCGGCGGCGGCGGCGCCGCAGCAGCAGCCGCACCGGACGTCCCTGCTGCAGCTGGTGAGGCGCGCCACGCTGCGCCGGCTCGGCCAGAACCGCGCCGAGCCAAAGCCGGCTGAGTGGCGGCAGGAGGCACCGGTCGGCAGCGGCCCGCCGGCGACCTTCGCACGGAGCCGGCGCGCCGGCGACCAGCAGCAGCAGTACGACGTGCCGCAGATAGGTGAGTCCTCCGCAGCGCAGGCCGCAGTCGGTGAGGGCTGCTCAGCGCTGGCCGCAGATTGGTGAGTCCGCTGCAGCGCAGACCACAGATCGGTGAATCTTCCGCAGCGCTGGCCGCAGATCAGTGAGTCTGCTGCAGCGCACGCCGCAGATCGGTGAGTCCGCTGCAGCGCGGGCCGCGCGCCCCCTCCAGCCGGCGCCCGCCGGTCATTCAGCTGTTCTGGCAGCTGTGCTACCGGCCCGCACAAGCTGGTCACGCCCTTAGTGTCTTTACTGTCGCTGCCCACGGCTGCTCCCGTTTCAATCAGCTGTTTACGCTTCTCGCAGCTGTCTCCGGGCTCCGTAGCCGGACCCACTCCCGACAGCTGGTCCCACTCCCGACAGCTGGTCCCACTCCCGACAGCCGGTCCCACTCCCGACAGCTGGTCCCACTCACGACAGCTGGTCCCACTCCCGACAGCTGGTCCCACTCCCGACGGCTGGTCCCACTCCCGACAGCTGGTCCCACTCGTAGGAGTTAGTCCCGTTCTCTGCGGTTAGTCCCGCTGCCTTCCCTCCCTGCACATCCCACAACTGGCCCTGCATCCCACAACTGGCCCTGCATCCTGCAGATGGTCTTTCCGCTTACATCTCAACGTCGCCATTCGTACCCGGCCTCACGGTCTAAAGCAGCACTTCTATTGCCCAATGGTGATCCCACCGCCTATCATTGCTGCTTCTATCCAACGCGGCTTCGCCGCGTACAGTTGTTTGCACCGCCTGCAACCATAGTCCAATAGCCCGCAGCTAGTCCCATGGCGGGGCACCAATCTATGACCCGTTCACGGTACTGCTCGCAGCCGAAACAGCCTTGTTAGGAGCACCTGCGAAGCATTACACTTCTTTGCGGCAATCGTGTTAGTTGGGGACTTCGGTCAGTAGCCGGTCTTGTGTTATCCGTCGGCCTGCCGTGAGATGGAAGTGACACTCAAAGGACTTAGTTATTTTAGGTGGTTGAGTGCATGCATCTCAATGATCGGACGGGTTATCTCTCACGCATTTGTAAATCTCACTTAGTCGGCTCGTCATTTCCGCACATGCCTTGAAATGACCGGACTGCTGTGTGCACTCGTTCGAATGCAAACACAACTACAAACATATATATATATATATATATATATATATATATATATATATATATATATATATATATATAAATACATATATGCAGTCATACCTTACGTATATCTTTGTGTGTGTGTGGTGTGTGTGTGTGTGTGTGTGTGTGTGTGTGTGTGTGTGTGTGTGTGTGTGTGTGTGTGTGTGTGTGTGTGTGCGAGCGAGTGCGTGTGTGTGTATATATATATATATATATATATATATATATATATATATATATGTGGTGTGTGTGTTGTGTGTTGTGTGTGTGTGTGTGTATGCGTGCGTGCGTGCATGTATCAATGTGCTGGTATGTGTTTTACGTGCACACAGAAGTTTGTCTTTAGGACGGCCATAAGCCAATCGATGGTGTGAAAACGATGGGAAAAACAGCTGGATGGTGGGAACCCAGAATGGCGGAAAGTGTTGAGGTTATTGTTATTTTATCCTAGCCAAAGCGGCAAATGAATGCTGGAGCATACCGTGCAGGCCTTGTCGCCTATTTCTAAAAACGGATTGCGTGACTTTGTACATTTCTTAGTTCTGCCATCCAAGTACGGGCAGTCAAAAGATATTGGTGCCTTCAACATAGCCCGAACTTTGCAGAGCTGCGTAAACCGCACCGCGCGCAAAATGCCTCGAAAAGCGACCAAGGTACCTGGTGCCTCATGTGCGTTACTTTAAACTGATGTGGGTCCGCGCGTTTCAAAGTTAATAGCGTGTGATATATATCCAAGGTCTGGGAATTGTTCATTATATAGCTGTCTTTGATCGAAAATGACGATGACTACCACGGCACGGCTTGGAGTTGATAAAAGGAGTTGAAGGTTCTGTATCTCGTAGTTCTGATGAGCATGAAAGGTCCGCTGGTTAAATGTAAAAAACTTGACTCCATCGAGTAGTTCAAACAAGCCTTCCAGTAGCACTCGCAGTGAGCCGCATTAAAAGCGAACATGATCACGCGACTCACACCGTACAAGTGCTCCGCCTTTAAAGACTACGACCCGATATCGGTAGAAGACAGCTTCTGTATAGCGGTGGGCGCGAGTCCATCCTGCTTGCCGTGAGTGACGTCACCCGATGGCAGTCAACATCCACTTCGCCGAGACGCTGTACGCTCTCCTGCGTGACATCGTCCTCACGTACATGAAGTCATTTCACAGTTTCAGTTTGAAGTGTTGACTCACAGACATGAAGAGCCACCTATGTGGATTGCCCCGCCCAATGAATGGTAAGTGGTGTCTAGAACATTTACGCGGGGTGCATCCATTGCGAAAGACAGCTGGCATTGCGGCCCGAAAGCGGAATGCGACATCAGAGTATGATCCGCAATTTCGACACCCGCTGTTGCTTTCATGTGTTGTGGATTGCACCCACGCGCTGTGCATCGCCACGGTCTCTGACGAATAGCGCAGCTATTGGCCGATGATTTGAGTGCATTCCATTCAGCGCCATGGCTAGGACACTGGACAAAAATAACATAAACATCACCTAGCCGTGGCGGCCCTTGGCTGTGATCTGCCCATAAGGGATAATTCCGGCGTGCGCTGCCGCCAACACAAAAAGGAGGCGATGTACCAAATCGATTGTCAAGTAAAAAGTGACGTCCTTTAGTAGTGTTCTTATCGGGGTGTAAAAAAACTTGCATTGGATGGGGGTGAGAGCGTCTTTAAGGATCGAGCTTGCGAGGGACATCTATAAATGCTTTTTTCATAAAGAGGAAAAATTAATGCTTCGAAAAGCAGCCCGTCAACTACAATAAATGCAGAACAGCAATGTTGGCACTTTTGCCTGTTTGGCTTTTCCTCAGGGCAACTTGTGATGCCCTGATGTACTTCGGCGGAGTGCAGACTATGGCTGTGGTGTGTTGGTCCCCAGTAAGGTCCACGGCTAAGTACAAAATTTGCAAAAGTGTCGTATCACAAAGAGGAAAAGGCTGGTTTCGTGTTATGCTACCATACTCAGGAGCAAATTCTGCAAGTCCCCATGCATGCAAATTAACAGATGACATTTTCGTCAGCCTATGATCACCTTTAGTGTTGTGGTCAAATTTCGTTTCAGTTTGTTATTAAGCAATTGACATGTTTAAGTGTTAAAGAACCTGGGTATCCCTCTATCCTATATATAAAAAGCGCATTCCTAACTCATGCGTCACCTGTAATCGGGTGTAGCAAGGAGATTTAGCGCGGCAGTGATACGTCCAGCGTTGCGTCCCGCTAACAGGGCGACCAGAGAGCGCCTCAGGGTACCTGATGTAGGGGTTCGCCTACGTCCGGTTTGGTGGGCAGTGCGCAGCGGAGTTTAAACCCCGGGCTTACGACGCTAAGGTCGGCTCGCAGCTTCTTTTGTTTCTTCGGTCGCCCTCAAGTCAGCAGGGCGACGTGGATCTCCGCTGCAATGATGATGCCGGTCTGAAAGCCTGTCCACCGAGTGGGTGCCCGTCTGTATGGAACGAATGTGCCTGTCGGTCTGTTTTCCGTATCTTACCTTTGACGGCCCAAAATATGCCAGATTAAGGCAGCGTAAATATAACCATACTCCCCCGTTTTGCAGCGGGTGACATAAGCTGGCTAATCCTGCTTCTATTTTGCTTACGAATTCTTTTAAGAGCAAGTTTTCACCTTCGGATGTAGCCCTGGGCCCGTCGAGCGATCGGCAGCCTGTTCCGCTGGTGCGACCGCCGCTGGTGATCGGCAGCCATGTGCTGGAGCGACCCGTGAGTCTGAAGTCAAGTCCTTCCTGTCCGTGCTACACCCGTAGTGGAATGGAACGTTTTGAGCTTTGCTTCGACGAACGTTTTAATGCGTATTGTGTATATATGTATATGTTTTTCCACGTCTTCGTATATGATGTATATGTATATGTTTTTCCACGTCACGTTTTTCCACAATTCAATGAAGCTGGCATGTTAACAGACCGCAGATATCTGTGAATGTCTCCATGATTGCACCATGCTGTACGATATGGCAGTGATCATGTCCGCGTTGCGCTCCATCAGTCAGTGTTTCAAGAGCTCCTGGTCGGTTACTAGGCTCCGCTCACGTGCATGAGGCGCTCGTTATTGACATTATAGCTGCTGTTAGCCATTTGTTGACATAGCTGTCGAAATTATTGCGTTTTATGCGTTTTGATGACAACGAGCAATAGCTGTCAAACTCCATTCCCCCCCCCCCAAACTGGTGCATGGGGAAAAATTTGCTGATGAGCTTTTATGCAGCAAGCTTTCTTGGTTGGACCTATCGTTAAAAATAGCTGACTGCTGACTCTGCCCACAAATCAGAGCTACTTTCGCTCAAAACGCTGCGTGGTTCAAGCCTGTGATCTTCGGCGCCGGATGCCGGTGGATGAACCGCGGCTACTTCAAACCGGAAAGGCCATTCCAAGCCGGGAAAATGCACAATTGTCACTTATCAGCTGCAAGAAATCTGACGGGCTCGGCAGTGAACAAAATTATGATATACAGTGGCAATGACGACAGCTTGCCTTCCGTGTAATCCATATGTTACACAGGTCTGCGCACTGGGCTTTGTATCCCTTTTGGGCATGTTTGTCTTTGCGCCGAAAAGAAGTTTGGACACAAACTATTTGAAGAGCTCTAAAACATAAAACTCAGATGTCCTGTATTTAATGCAGCCTTCACCCCTCTCATGAACTTCATAAAGCATCGGCCTTGATCGAAGCATACGGCCAATGGACGGCATGACTTACGAGAGGGCACCTGTAGGTGAAAGAGACAACACTAGTCTACGTGAGGAAGGAGAAAATAATTTTTAAAACAAGATCGAGTTGAATCCCCCAGTTAACAGCGGCGTGGTCAGTAATCACGCTCACACAGGGGTGCCACGGGGATACAAATCGCTATCG